ACGTTGTCCATATTTAACCAACTTAACAAGACTTACGCATTTAAAACCATGGATTATGGGAGAAGTAAGGCTCGCTGATCATATCTCGGCCCCCCCCCCCCCGTTCTTTTCACAGTGAGGAAATTAAAACTTAGGGTCAAACAGCTGGGACAGCCAGAAATCCAACCCAGACACCCCAGCTCCCAACCAGGGTGCTACTTGCTTTGTAGGGATTGAGGTTTTTAATGCCTTTGGGATGAAGTCACTTTAAAACCAAATATAAGCAAATGCTAAAGGCAAAAATTCCTTAAAGAATCCTAATTTTACTGGTTCAAGGCCAGGCTCTGGGAGAGGCTCCAGTTCAGTGGTCACATGACCTGCATCAGTGGCCACACCCTCCCTGTCTTGAGGCCATCCCATGAAATCTACCTCATGGAGTGTTCTGAGAACAAAAAGGAACACACACACTGGGGCCTCTTACACAGTTTTACTTTTGTTTTTCAAGACTGGTTTTCTCTGTGTAGCTCTGGAGCCAATCCTGGAACTCGCTCTGTAGACCAGGCTGGCCTCGAACTCACAGAGACCCTCCTCCCTCTGCCTCCCCAGTGCTGGGATTAGAGGTTTGTGCCACCATCGCCCGGTTCAGTTTTACTTATAGTCAACCATGATCCAAAAACATTAACTGGAAAATTCTAGAAATAATTCCTAAGGTTTAAATAGCTTTTATGAGAGTATATCGTTGTAATTGTTCTCATTATTAGATGTTAATCTCACTGTGCCTGATTTGCACAGTACACTTTATCACACGTATGCATGCATGTATGTCATCTATGAGAAAGCATACACGCCAGGCATCCAATGTGGGTCTTAGAAAGGACCCACACTGGCAATGAGGGGAGGGGAGGGGAGGGAGGGGAGGGGAGGGAGGGGAGGGGAGGGGAGGGAGGAGAGGAGAGGAGAGGAGAGGAGAGGAGAGGAGAGGAGAGGAGAGGAGAGGAGAGGAGAGGAGAGGAGAGGAGAGGAGGGGGAGGATGGACAGACGCGTGCTGACAGAGGCGTGGTACAGGGAAAGGGAACTCTTCCCTGCATACTGCTGCAGAAACAAATTAGTAGGTCTCTCAGAGGACCACAGAGGCCCCCAAAATTAAAAGCAGAGCTATCACATCATCCACCAAGGCAGCTTCTGGTATTTAGAGGGGAGGAAACGTCATGTGGGAGACACATCCCCTGTCCACTGTAGAAAGGAAACGCGGGTTTTGACCACAATGTGGATGGAACTGGAAATCACTGTGAGTGAAATAATCAGGAACAGAGGCATCATCATACTCCTGAGGAATCTGAACATAGGGTGGTGGTCACCGGGGCTGGGGAGGGTAGCGAGGAAGGAAGACGGGCTGATGGGTAAGCTACAGCCAGACAGGAAGAGGGCGCTCTGATGTGTGGCTGCATAGGATGGCGTAGACTCGGCACCCCAAAAAGCTAGCGAGGAAAAGGGGGAGAAAGGGAAAGACATGGTGGGGAAGAGAAGGGGGCATAGAAGGAGAGGGAGGACAGAGAGGGAGGGGAGCAGTGGTAATTCTCTTTTACCAGCTACAGAGATTTTAAAATACTACATTTAAGGCCTCCAAGTGGAAACCCAGATGACAGTTCTCTCAGCAGAATAAATAGCACTGAGCCACCCGAAGGCCCCAGGTGAACACCGTCTACAGACCCACCCTTCCCTTGGTGATGGGCACGCCGCTAAGAACAGGCCACCCAGCTAAGAGCTGCGGCAGCTGGGATCCCAGCAGCCACATAAAAGCTGAGTGCCATGGCTGCAGGCCCAGAGCTGGAGCACAGGCAGAGATGGGCAGATCCCTGAGCCCGCGGGCCAGAAAGTCGGGCTCAGCCAGAGTCTCAGAATCCAAGGTGGAGAGGGCAGAGGAAGACACAACTCAACCTCTGCCTGCACATGCCTGCATGCACGCACACACACACACGCACACACACACACACACACACAAATACAGACATACATGCCACACACACATAAATACAGACATACATGCCACACACACACAAAAATGTAAGGTGGACAAAGATTCATGAAGATGCCCAGCATCAACTCTGGCTTCCACACACAGATGTACATACACACAACGTACACACACACACACTGTATATGCACATGCATACACACATGTATATACACATATGTATACACGTATGTATACACACACACTACACACACACACAAAAAAAAACAAACGACATTGATCGATGTACAGGCATTAACTACAGCACAGCCTAAAATGGCAAATATCAGGAGACACAACAGAATAATAATTAGAACTCGCGCGGTCCTGGCACTGGGATTCCATCTGTCCACTGGAAAGAACACGGTGGGTTTACAGGTGCTGGCAAGGAAAGACACCAGTACCACCGTGTGGAGTACGGACATGGGGGTCAGTGTTCCCCAGGAGCTGCCTCTGTAAACCCGACAAAACTACATACTCTGCAGCTAGCTTCTTTTCCTCCCCAGGGGGGCGGTGACAAGAATGTTTAAAAGACACTATATCTAATCTCTAAGGGGGCAGAGGCTAAATTTGGTTTTTAGATTTTTGTTGTTGTTGTTAAAAAGTATGTTCTGCAAGTTTTCCCTTTTTTTTTTTAAATAAAACTTAATTTGTTAGCTGGGCGGCGGTGGCACACGGCTCTAATCCCAGCACTCGGGAGGAAGAGGGAGACGAGTTTGAGACTAGTCTGGTCTACAAGAGCTAGTTCCAGGACAGCCTCCAAAGCCACAGAGAAACCCTGTCTCAAATAACAAAAAACAAAATACATTAATTTGTTGACATAAGCCAAACACTTCCATGAAGACAGCTGTCATACATTCTTTATGGCATATGGCTGTCCACGTCCAATGAAAGGAAGCATCCGTGTATATGGATTCTAACAAACTGTGCTGCCAAAATGACCTGAAATGAAACGGCTTAAGGATATGTCACAGTGACACACAGGTCTGCAGCCACAGATTCCACCCCCAAAGCCTGGCTCTATACCCCTCAACAAAGAGCCTCTTCCTGACTCTTTTCAGGCAAACAATTGCTTTTATCCCTCCCCCTGGAAGCATGAGAATTTCCAGGCCCTCCAATTTCCCACCAAGAAGCACCCTGGGGGCAGCCTCTTCAAAAACCCAAGTTCTTACCACAGGAAATCACAGACAATCAGGGTCACCTTTCGATCCTTTATGATCCATCCAGTAATTTAAACATCCAAAAACACATCCTGAATCCTAAAGCCTTAGAAATGCAACCCCATGCTGGGCATGATGGCTCACACCAGAAATCCCAGCCCTTGGGAGGTAGAAGTACAAGGATCAGGAGTTCAAAGTCAACCTCAGCTACATAAAGGGTTCAAGGACAACTGTGGCTACCCTAAAACCAGGTCTCAAAAAAAGAAGAGGGCTCAGCGGTAACAACACTTGCTGCCAAGCCTGGAGACCTGCGTTTGATCCCTGAACCCACAGGCCAGAAACAGGGTACCATCTCCCACATACAAACTGTCTTCTGACCTGCACACACATCCCTCAACACATACACAAGATAATGCACATATGATTGACAGTTACAGAAAGCTGTGACAATGACTGAGTTCCAGGCATGGCTGAGGGGACATACTCGCGGACAGGTGATCATGTTTCACGGTGGCAAACACGGGCTTGCATATTAAGTTGTTTACAGTAGCATTTCCCCAAATTTCTACAAGAGGTACATATAAGTTAGGTTATAACTTTTAAGAGGATTTAAACAGTATACAGGTTAAGACCCCTTCCACACAGACAGATCAGATTAGAGAAGCTCAGTGCTGATGTCACTGTCACAGCTCTGTGGGAACTCTCTGTGCAATACTGCTGGTGTCTCAGAAAGGAGGAGAAAGAACACCTCCCCTGGGAAAAGGTCCCTGACTCCCCAAGCTGGGCTAATTGCTCCCTTTCCTATATTCCCCTGGTGCTCTGTGCTTCAGCTATTACTGTATCAAACACACTATTATTTCTGCACTGGTATCTTTATTTACACATCTGTCTCCCTAGTCAAACTACACGCTCTTTGGGGACAAGGGGGAAACATATTGATCCTTTTGAACTCATGATAGTCCCGCAATAAAAGGGTTTGGAGCTCCAGTCTAATGGAATATTTAATTAAATGCCTATGGCCAATGGCTGTGGACCACTGGAGGTACTGGGAACAAATAATCCCCAACACTGCCCTCAACACTCAAGGTTCCCGACGTCTCGATGAAAACGAGCCAGCAGGTACACAGCTATGCATGCAACGAGGGAGCCCAGAACGAGCAGGCAAGGAAGAGGCAGCGAGAACGGCTGCGTGGGAACGGGAGGGGACGCGCTTGCACAAGGCGGGCCTGAGGTATCCGCTCTCTCCTAGTGCCTCTCGCACGTTACGGATACCCCCGGTGTTCACCCTCTGATCACTGCTTTCATAAACACGCACTAACTATCAACTACGCTCTTTCCGGGTACCATCAGGACTGTGTCTCGTTCATGGGGTCTGCGGCCTAATGATGCTGGAGACACGGAGATGGACAGGGCGCACGGGAGGCTGTGCCTGTTATATATAGAAGGATCCCTTGGCTGTTGAGAACCAAGCCACGAGGCCCGCAATCGTCTCCAGGACTCCCATTCCACAAGGGAACAAGGACGAGCACGGGGTCAACTCAGCTGGAGAAGCAGCAGCCCGGCCAAAGGCGCAGCCTGACGCTCCTCACTGCATCATTCCAGCAACCGCGCCCGCGGGGGCCGCCTCACGTAGGGACAGAGCAGCCCCTTTGCTTTCCTGTCTAATCATCACATGTGCTTCACTAGCTGGGGAACTAGTTACAACTGCTAATATGTGCAAGCCCACAGCATTAAAAATATGTGCAAACTGTGAGTCAGCTCAGCTGATAGCTCAAGCCGTATCTTCGAGAAGCCACCCAGAGGGAGGGCCCACATGCGGGACTCAGTCAGCCTTCCGTCTGCTCACCACGAGTGTTGGTGGCCATGTCAGCCACTTTCTGAAAGGCGTCCAAGAAGGCAGCTGCCGCCACTACTGTTGTCCTAAAATGCAAACAGATAACAAAAGCATGAGGAGCGTCTCACACTGGCAGATTCGTCACAGCTCTCGGGCTACACCCTCTGGGACACAGTGAACAGAACCTTCCAGAGAAACCACCCAGAAGGAGGTGTGTTTTGTTTGGGGTTCTCCCTAGCACTCAACCCCAATAATGGCCTCACTATAGAAGACTACCAAGAAAAGTTTTGCAAAGAAATAAAAGGGAAGTATTTCTACCCCCAAAGAAGAAGAAAGACCCCTCAAAAGTATGGACATAGGAAAGTAATATATGCATACATGAACCGGCAGGGAACCAAATCTTGGAGAGCAGAAAGTTCGATAACTCACTGCCAAAAACGATGAGACTACACATTGGAAGGCATTTTAGAAATCACTAGTCCGTACCACAGTGCCTGGTGCCCGGGCACTATGACTCAAGTCTCTGCAGCACAGGGTGCAAGCTGGGTACAGCTTTTCTCCCTAATTGTCTTGAGACTAAGATACTGGCTTGGGGTTCCATTGGCTTTGTTTTGTTCAGCCTGGGGATGCTCTCTCAACCGCATCTTCTGAAATCCTAAAAGCAACGACGGTTAGAATTAAGACTCATTTCACGTCCTGGGAATATTCTAATGCTTATACATTCCCTTAAGGCCTACCGGATGGTTGGATACACTGGGCACTCTGTGGCCTGCTGGCTCCTAGCGCCCAGCCTCCACCATCGCGAACCATGAGCTGGGAAGGACCAGCATCCCAGGCTGCTCTGTGACAGACCAGCAAGCCCCGCCCCCACCACACAAGGATCAAAGACTGATGCTAAATCTTCAGGTGTTTGTTCCGTGACTCCAATCTCTACTGAAGTTCCCTTCCCCAAGAAGGCAAAGTCACTAAAAGTAGAATAAGGACAAGAGTTCAGAATGCAGAAAAGGAAATGATCTTTCTTAACCGCGTTAACCATAGCTAGGGAGCAAAGGGATTCTGCAAAGTTCTGATAGGGCCCCTTTAATTTTAAAACGAGGAGGCCTGATACTTCTAGTAGATCAAGACTATATCTGCTCAAGCCGGATGTGGTGGCACACACCTTTAATCCCAGCACTTGGAAGGCAGAGGCAAGAGGATCTCTGAGTTTAAGGCCAGCCTGGTCTACAGAGTGAGTTCCAGGACAGCCAGAGATATACAAAGAAACCCCATCTCAAAAAACAAACAAGCAAAAAAACCACTGCTCGATTCTAAACAACAACCCCCCCACCACCACCACCACCACCACCACCACACACACACACACACACACACACACACACACACACACACACACACACACACACTCCAAAGCATATTTGCAAAGTGTTGCTATCAAATGCAAACACTGGAAAAGTTATCTTATCAAACATCCTGAGACTAAACAGCTCATTCTGACTTACGATTAGTATCTGACAAGCCTGCTTGGTTTATTCTCATTCAACTCAATGCCAAGCAACCACATCTTATGAGCTAGCTGCAGACAAGCCTCGTCCACTACAGTCACTGGAACTCCACTGCAAATTAGGATGCTGGTCAATACTGAGGAATTAAGAGCTTTCTAATGACAGTCACTGGGTGCTTTCTGGTATCATGGCAGGACGTCCTGGTCCTGTCTGTACAGACAGAGCAAACATGAAACCACCAGGAGCTAAGGGAGTGAGTGATTCAGCTTAAACACCCCGGACATAACCGCAGTAACAGCAGTCTTTCTCCGGACAAAAAAGTTAACTCTCAAGAAGGCGCTAGTAGCTTGACAAACTGATAAAGAATGTCCCTGACCTCAGAAGACCTAAAGGGGGCAGGGGAGGGGGGAGCAGAAGTCTTCCTTGAGTTTTACTTTCTCAAGACAGGCGGTGAGTTCATCACTTCACAACCATCCTCACCAGCAGAAGGGAAAGAGAACAGTTTACCGATTTTTCTCCAGGCCTGTATGGGAAGCCCACCCAACCGTCAGAGGGTGGACAAGGAAACGAAGGGGAACTCTCAGTGCTTCAGTTCAGGAGGAGACTTAACATTGGGTAAGACAGGGCCAGAAGGCCAAGGTCACTCCATGAGGGGTGGCTGGTGAGGACCTCAGATGAAAGACCCAGTGAGCCAGAGAGCAGAGACGATCAGGAACTCCACAGCTGTTTAAGGCACATGCTCAGAGCCCAGTGTCTACTTAGGGGTCACACACAAGGCTGCAAGGAGCCCCACAACCGAAGCTGAGGGAGCCCATGCACTCCTGCCCGGCCGTTTGCCTCTCGGCCTGGGGCAACGGCTCTGAGCAGCCGCCGCTGGTGAGCAGTGGCAGACTCAGAAGTGTCCCTCGCTTGTCTATCACCCACGTGGCCATGGGGTCTCTTCCTAGAAGACCCCTAACCACTGCTCCGCCCTCTCTTCCGTATCTCTATCTCTTCCCGTTCGGACTTCAAAGGGGCCAAGCTGCAACACGTGGATATTTCATCTCATTTATCCTAGCAAATGAGAATGGCTCAGGTACACTAGGCAATAACGGGGTTCTCAGAGGACAGCCAGCAACAACAGATCATGTTTAAGCAGCCCGAGGCATAAGGTTGTTTGGTTTGGTTTGTTTTTCCGAGACCGGGTTCCTCTGTGTAGCCTTGGCTGTCCTGGAACTCGCTCTGTAGACCAGGCTGGCCTCAGAGATCCACCTGCCTCTGCCTCCTGAGGGTTGGGATTAAAAGAGGTGGTGTCACAGCCACCCGGGGAGGCCTGACTTTCACGTCAGAAAATTTACTTCTTCTAAGCGTCTAAGGGCTTATCTCTGTGGCTTTTTAAATGTAGAGCTTTGAGGGAGCCCCGCCCAATTTCAAAGCATTCCCGTCATCTCACCAAGACCCCTCCCACCCATCCGCAGTCAGTCTCCTTTAAACCCCTGGCCCAGGGACTGTATCCCATCGCTATAGACTTCCTCTGGAGACACTGCGTACCAGTCGACACTGAGATTTCAGCTCTGCGTGTGGAAAGAAAGTACAGATGGACGAGAAAGAGCTCACGTTTAAATCTCCGTTCTGTCACTTACTGGTGGCACCTCTATGACCAACCACTCTCTTTCCTGTGCCTCAGCTTCCCCATCAGTCAAACTCAGCTGACAGGTGCACTCAACCTTGTGGGGCTGAGGTTTGGTAAGTTCACCTATGCTCGGCACAGCGAGCGCCACGTAAACGGTATCCGCTATCACCGTTATCACTCTATATACTCAACTCCGAAAATCCCTGTGGAGGAGGCAGAGGAGAAATGAGTCTGCCGTCACACGTGGGGGGGGGGGAGGATAACATGAACTGCTCCAAGCTTCTCTATCCGTGACGTCTAAATTTAGCCCACACGTGTGTGTCGACCCACCTCTGTCTTAAGGGCGTCGCCTTTCCGTGTGCAGTGTGCATGCGTACTTACCGCAGCTGGGACTGCAGCTTCCCGGCTTTGTTAATGAAATCTTCCCAGACTGGATAGCTCCCCTACGACAGAACAAAGCCAGCGATCAGTCAGTGAGAGGAGCCAAACACCCATTCCCAACCACGCAAGGAACCCTCCTCTGTAGGGTGGGTACACACCACATACACAGGCAACGTCTCAGGGGCCGTTTCGGATGTACCCTACCCCGGTGATCTCGCCAAGAGTCACAGACGCCAAATGGGAACTGGTTTCGCAGACTCTAACCTTGGAGAGTCTACAAACATGGTGGGTCCAGACGTTAAAAACACACGACATCTGAGTCTCTCTCCTGGGTCACCTGTGCACACGCACAACCTGGCTCTGACTATTCTCATCTTGTCCCACACAGCTGGACAAAGGAGCGGGGTGACTGAAACACCACCCTAGGGCAGGTGGCTATCGGGAAGCAGTATCAGCCTATCATAATCCCAAGGCTGCAAAATAACCTAAATACAGCCACCCAGCCAATGTTTAACAGCTACGTACACTATGGCAACAGGCGGGTCCCCAGCAAACCTCAGCAGCACAGGACCCGATCCATTCCTGGGCCGCCTGTGTCAAGCTACCTGTCCTTCAATTTCACACGGCTCTGGAGCCAACCTTCCAGAAGCCCTTAGAACCAAGACTGGTCACCTTCCCTCCCTACTGACTCTGCGTGAGGACCAAGCCCATGTCTCTAAGGGAGCCCTGCACATCCCCAGCGTCCCTGAGCAGCGCAAGGGGTCTCCTCCTGGGCCCAGGGCTAAGACACAAAGGCAGATGAGTAGGTGCAGTTCTAACCAGGGCAAACTGGCACGCGGCTGGCCACCTCCCTCCCCACACACATTACAGGTGACGCAGCAATCCACCGAGAGGGTGGTTTCCTTTTACTCCACTCAAACCCAATAAAGGTAAAACGTGTAGGGGGGGAGGGGCGCTGTATGGAACCAAATCATTCACCTGGCGGTCACAGGCACAGATCAGAGCACAGACGTGAGGCATCTTGACAAGGCAAGACTATTACGGCACAAGCTGGGTGGTGGTGGCGCACGCCTTTAATCCCAGCACTCGGGAGGCAGAGGCAGGCGGATCTCTGTGAGTTGGACGCCAGGCTGGACCGACAGCCTCTAAAACAATACAGAGAAACCCTGCCTCGTAAAACCCAAAAAAAAAAAACTATTAGGGCACCTCTTGTGTTTGTTGCCAAGGGGAGAAAGGAATAACTCAAAATTAAATTAATCGTTGCGTCTTTCATTGCAGATGCCAAACCACAACTGTCTTAAAGCTGCAGCTGGGCAAGTCCTTGCTGTCACCCTCCTGGTGGCTGTCATGGGCCTCTTCTCCCCCCTTACTGCTGTCTCTCTGCCTTGGCACTCCCCTCCCCCACCCCGCGCTCTGGGTGAGAGGCTCTCTTCAGCGGTGGTGTGTGTACGTCACAGAAAAGTGAGCAGCATCGCTGGCCAGAAGCCCCCAACACCTCCTTACGACAGATGGAACGATCTCAAGACACTGTCAGATGTCCCTGGTTAGGAACAGTGTCTTAAAGGAACACCTGAAAACCTCTTCCTCCTGGGAAAAAGCCATCGGGAGTCAGCCATTTGCCCATGGTTTTGTTGTTTGGGTTTTGTGGTTTTTCGAGACAGGGTTTCTCTGTGTAGCCTTGGCGGTCCTTGAACTCACTCTGTAGACCAGGCTGGCCTCGAACTCACAGAGATCCGCCTGCCTCTGCCTCCCGAGTGCTAGGATTAAAGGCATGCACCACCACCGCCTGGCCCCATTTTAATCTTAAGACAATTGCATGTAACCTGTATGCACATTGTTCAAGCGGGGTTGATGGCTAGAGAAATAGATAAAAAGGTCATTTTTTAAACAAGGTGTTAACTCTTATGCATATAAGTTTTAAAATTAAACATTTTCCTTTCACTGGGCGTTGGTGGCACACACTTTAATCCCAGCACTCGGGAGGCAGAGGCAGGCGGATCTCTGTGAGTTCGAGGCCAGCCTGGTCTACAGAGCGAGTTCCTGGACAGCCTCCAAAGCCACAGAGAAACCCTGTCTCGAAAAACAAAAACAAAAAAAAAAAGATTAAAATGAGTTACTTCTGGGAGCTAAGATTTGGGCCGACATATTGCTTTCTTCTTGGTACTTTCCTCTACGGCGTGCTGTTTTGTTTTGTTTTTATAAGGGCCGTGTATCATTTTAATGAAAACAATAAAGTCATTACATTAAAAAAATTTAAGACCAAATTAGAGGTACTGGCAGCGATTACCCCCGTGAATTTCCTCCCAGGCCAAGCCCAGCAGTCTGTTTTGCATATGCTGCCCGCTCACAACCAGCTGCTCGGCATCTGGGTCCTGCTTGGTCTCATCTGGCCGTTTGCACCCACGAACGCTAAACTGCACCAGGGCCCAGGGCAGAGGCCCTCTGGCAGCTACATCCGAGTCATGCCAACCAACATCTAGACATGGTTCCTGACTCACGGTCCTCTTTCTGTTTATCCCCTGGGGACATCTTCAACCCAACAACAGACCTGAAGTATTCATAAATGAGCCTGTCATTGTAGTATACCATTGTAATCCCAGCACTTGGGAGTTCAAGGCCAGCCTTGGTTACTTACCAAGTTCAAGGCCAGCCTGCACTGTAAAAGATGGGTGTCTGAAGAAAAGCAACGGCCAAGGGGACTGGAAAGACAGCAAGCAAGAGTGGGAACCTAGCTGGATCCCCAGAACTCACATAAAATCCAGGGTGTGGTGGTGTGTGCTTGTAATACCAGCACTGAAGAGGCAGAAACAGCCGGATCCCCAGGGCTTGCCAGCCAGCTTTGTAGCCTAAATGGTGAGTGCCCAACCAATGAGAGATTCCAACCAGACAGAGAACATCCCTGAGAATGCCAGCTTACGACAGCGGCGCTCAACCTGTGAGTTTCCATCCCTTCCGAGCTGCATAGCAGATGTTTACATTCCGATTCACAACACTAAGTAAACTGCAGCTATGAAGTAGCAACGAAATAATTTTATGGTTGGGAGTCACCACGACATGAGCATTAGGAAAGTTTGAGATCTGATGCCTCAGGATGTTCTCTGACCCGCATACACACACACCACACACACACCACACACACCCACACACAACACACATACAACACACACACATACATACAACATACAACACACACGCCACACATACACACATACATATATACAGACACACAACACACACAACACACACATAACACAGATACACACACATACATATACACAGACACATACACACTCCACACACACAGCACACACACACACACCACACACAGAAGCATACATACAACACACAGATACACACATACATACAGACACATACACATATACACAACACACACACATACATATACACACACAGAAGAAAACAAGCAAGAGGGGGGGGGAGGGAGGGCTGGAGGGGATTTGACTGAGACCAATCTAAAGGGTATCCAGACAGCACTGCAGGTCCATCAAGACACCATGATGATGTACTGACTCCCGGTGTTCCTCTAGTCTATACAGGAATTAATTAATTACTCTTGCCAGGGTAACGCAGAGCCCTGTGGCTGGCCTCTATCAGACAGGGTAACTTGTAAGACTGCCATCTAGCCAGACCTCCTTTTCATCCAGAAGGCCTGATAGGAAGCTTCTGGAGAAACCTGGGGGGGCATTTAGGGAAGTGCCTCCTGCTTCTAGCTGGAGGTGCCACTGTAGTCTGCAAAATGGGGCAGATGTGAGAGCAGCCCTTCTCCACCCAAGCTCCTAGCTGGCCAGATGTGGTTGCTTATGCCTATAACCCCAGCACTTGGAAAAATAGTCAAGGAGTACAGCCCACTGTGACTCCCAGGTCACCCTGGGCTACATGAGATGCTATCTACAAATGATAATAGTAATAATAGTAATAATAATAATTTGAAGTAAGTGACAGCATACAATACGCTGCATTAGCCATAGGCCAGGCTCATGTCTAACACCCAGGCCAGCAATTTACTAGGGGGAATCACTGGACCCTTCAGGGCCTGTTTCCCTCTAATGATAATAATTAAACCAACAGTCACACCGTTGCCTTTCGGTTGAGATCAGCAGCAGGACAATTACAGCACCCTTAGGAGCAGCGCCACCCATTCACAACAAAAGACTGAGGGAGAGAAGGGGACAGGAACCTGGGAACCACCTGGGTTGGACCTTCTAGTTCTCCCGCTTGCTGTGTGACGTCAGAGTCGCTGGACCTCTGCTCGGAGACACCATTAACTCACAGGGTCCGTCTGGGGAACAGACCAAGGAGACATCCGCACACCTGTGTTTACTGTAGCACTACTCTCAATGGCTAACAGCAAGACATCAACCCGAGCGTCACCCGCTAACGGTGGGCTACAGAAAATGTGGACCTGCTCGTCCTATCACCGCAACCCGGAAGAAGCTACAGAATGCAGCACCCTAGGAAATAAGCTAGACACAGAAAGACAAACCCCATGTGCTCTTGCCAGTATGCAATCTAAAACGTAGGACCCGGTGGCGGGAGGAACAGGGGTGTGGGAGGGACTGGTCAGGATATTTAATTATCACTAAACAGGAGAGAAACAGCTAGAAGGCAGTTACGGGACCGCCAGGAGCTGTAGGGAGTGGTGAGCTGGGGAGGGGGGAATCAAAACCGATGACAGCTAACAGGAAGTTTCTCTCTTGGGTGATGAAAGCTCCCAAAAGTGGCGTGGTAATGTTGTGTGACTCTTAGAACACACTACAAGCCAATGGTCTGCCGGCTTTCCGTGGGCACACTGCATGATACATTCGTGGTATCTCAGAAAAGCTGTACACATAAATAAGGTCCCGCCTACAGGGGGTAAATGCAGTGGCTGGCACACAGAGCCATGTTTGAGGCCATGGATCCCGGCATCCGTAGGTTCCACGAAAGCTCCTTCAGGATGTTCACCGGAAGCCACGCTGCAAACAGGCTGTGCCGGCTGAAATCCCATCCCTAATCCCAGTCGCAGGGTCAGGCAAGGTAGGAGGCAAATGGTGGCTGGAGA